GTGTGGGTGTGGGGGGGGGGGGTGGGGGGGGTGGTGGGGGCGGGGCTGTGGGGGTGAGGGTGTGGGTGTGCATGTGGGTACCCATTGGATCACGATACACCCACACCCTAGCGTAAAAGAAACAGCATTATGATTTTTCAATTATTTTCTTCCTTTTTTCTGCACTGTTAGTTCTCTTACACGATACTATTGTTGAGCACAAATAGAAATCTTTTTCGTTCTGTCAAGATTATTTTTCTCCTCGTGTTTGTCTCGAAGTGTAACGCATGATGTAGGCAGAACATCTAGTAAAAAAACTGTTTTGTTTCTTCTCGACTACTAGTTATCCCTTATTTTTTTTCTCTGGTAAAGTCATTTTTTCTTCCTTTCGCTGTGTGGAACATAAAAAGTACGAGCATCTAGGAGTGAAATTATCAGCATCAACAAACTATTGCGTATTTCGATGATGTCGCTAGAAGAACCATATCATTCGATCGTTCTACTCGATCTTACATCGAACGATTATTCACACTTAGACGATGATAATCTTGAACAACTCCTTCCGAACTGTCTTATCACACGAACTAGGGATCTCGATGATTGTTTGGATTTATTATTGGTCTCTGAAGACACGTCTATCATTTTGATCATTTCTCATTTATTCGTCTATATCACACATCATGTCTTGACCGAACTGATACCGAAGATTTCACGTGTTTATGTTCTCGGAGGTAAAAAATGCCGAAGGGCATTGTCTAATGGGAAAACTTTTCGTGGTCCTTTCACACATGTTGTGGGTCTTTGTGATCAACTTCGACTCGATTTATGTCTTCCGCAGTTGAAATCCTATGATGTTCGTCAGAAATCAAGTCAAAGTTTGACACAAGATACAGCCCGAACAGTGTGGTTTCAGTTTCTGCTTCGTATTCTCGTCCATTATCATCCTACAGAGGCGGCTCGACGTGAGATGATCACTCATCTTCGTCAGATCTATCAGGATAACACTTCGATGTCCTATACAATCTATAACTTCGAGCAAAACTACTCTTCAGATCAAGTCATCGATTGGTATCAACGGGATACATTTGTTCATCGTCAACTCAATCGAGCACTATCCAGCGAAGATCTGAATATGATATGTATATTCCGGGTCCTTATTCATGATCTTGATTCGAGAGTTCATCAGCTGCATCATGCGAAACGGAACATAGATTCAAGTGCTATGGTGTTGTATCGGGGGCAATGGGCTCATATAGATGAAATACATATGTGGCAAGCAAGTAGAGGTCATCTGATCGTTATCAATTCATTCTGGTCTACCAGTTTTCTAGAGCAGATAGGGAACATTTTCTGTGGAAATGATGCTCAGCCTGATGATCCCAATCAACGTCCTGTCCTTTTTACGGTTTCGGTTGTAAATCGAAATACCACGAAAATCATCTATGCTGATCTTCATGTTACATATGATGATGAAAGACAAGTGCTACTTCCATTGCGATCTATTTTTCGAATCGAAGATGTCGATCTTGTGAGCAATATCTGGCATGTGAACTTGACCCTGATTGATGAAGACCACGAACAATATCGTGCAGTTACTGAGCCTTGGAGAATAATACTTGACGAACGACGTCATTTCGATTTACCTCATCAACATGAATATTTCATTCGTGATTTATGTATGGATAAAGATTCCTCATTAGTGTTCCAACTTCTTATCGATATTGTACTTCGTCTTGATCACAATGAGTTTGCTCGAGAAGAAATGATGGAATTTCTTAGATCAGAATGTCGCACAGAGCATTATGAATTAAGAGAGATCGATGAGATTGAGCGGAGCTATTGTTCACTGAATGCCATTGAATTGTACAGGAAGTCCAACGTCCTATATAGGATTGTCTCGAAATCACTTCGAGAAGGAAACATCAATGGCATATTCAAGCTGCGCTATTTTATTCGGGACATGTACGAAAGTTTGACTAAGATACACGCCGGCGAGATGGGAAAAATGGGGGATAAAATGATAACTGTCTATCGCGGTCAAACTATGCCGTCTTCCGAATTGAATTTGATGTACGACAACGTAGGAGGCTTGCAAATGATAAATAACTTTTTGTCCACAACGACCGCTTCTGAACTGGCTTTACCATTTACGGGTTGCAATACTGGTGTATCACCCAGGAAGTCTGTTCTTTTTGAAATCACAGTTGATAGAAATGTATCTTCTTCCACTATTTGCGGTTTACTCAAGCCTTATGATAGATATCTAGACGAACGAGAATTCTTAATTTCGCTGGGAGCGGTTTTTCGCATCGACAATGTTGAACTATACACAGATACACTTTGGGTCGTCAGTATGACTCTGACAGATCACCATGATGAACAGTGGCGTATGCTCACCGCTCATTTGAATCCATCAGAGACCCAAGAGAAGTAGATTCGGAGTAGTGTAGAACTCGTTAATTCATTACGAATTAACGAATTAACGAGTTTACGAATTTAACTCTCAGCTGCCCCTGTGGCGTTTTGCCCTACTCCCTCAAGTATTTAAATTCGTAGCAAAATTCGTTAATTCGCTAATTCGTAGATTCGTTAATTTGTAACGAATTAACGAGTTGTACATATATGTAGATTTAATATACTTTCTATTAGAATGTCAAACGAACGAGGACAAGAAAAAAGACGTGTGAAATCTTTAGCTGAAACTGATACAAAGAAAAAGTACCTCAACAACAAGTGGCGACGACTCTGTTCTGTCACTAATTGTACGAAACAAGTACAAAAAGAAGGTTTATGTATTGGACATTATACAGAGAAATATGATCAAAAATATACAACAAATATAGCAGTTTCTGATCGAGCGTTCGCACACCCAACAACGGAAGAATCGGATACTATGTCTAACAATCCTACTAATTTATCCACTCTTACGGAAAACCATACAGAACAGGATAGTTTTGAAGGAAATAGTAAGTTTTTCTGTTTCATAAACTCAATGGTGTCTGAAGGCATCTTTCACTTGTCATATCATTTAGGAAATATTCCAACGACGACAATACAAACACATTCATCTGGTCAAAGTATTGCAATGTATTTTATTCCTGAGAAATCAACACCTTTACACAAAGATATTGGAGTTACAGACCAGCTAAATATCGTCAGACACTTCAGTACTTCCATAACATCAGGTAAATATATCACAAAATTTTTATATGAACCATAAAATTGATACATAACAATTCGTTACATTTGTGATATATGTACATTGAGGAGATCATCTATATTTAAGATACGTATACTGACGCGTCAATCGGAATACAAGACAATCAAAATAAAGCGATGAATATGCATAGATCTGAATATCGGATTCTATCAGCTAGTAATTGTCAATGCCGAAATAGTGCATCGTACAAATGTAGTCACTGTCCACTCTCATTTTGTTTTGAGCATGGATTACAACGTCAACAGAATTCGAAAGTGGAAATACACCGTTTATTAGATGAAGCAAAGGTTAGTCATGATCATGTAACAAGTAATAGGTATTACTTTGCGTGAAAGTTCTTGAAGTTTGATATATTTTATAGAAGCAAATGGTTCGCTCGTACTAAGAAACGAGCTCCAAATCAGATTGTTTCATTTTCTGTCACTCTGGCAGTAAATCACTCTTTCAGTTTCTTATGCTCAACGAAATACACTGCCAATGATTTCTTCAGTTTTGCTGTTATATCAAATGTACTTTTATTTAATGAAAATTATTAGAGTCTACTCATTTTAGGACCTCTGTGACAAGATTTCAACACTAAATATAGTTAGCGGCAAAGAAAACTGCATGCTGCAACTTAATCAATGGGCAAATATAATGGATTCCAAAATTGATCGAAAGCATTATGAACTCCAGATGGAACTCGATCGACTACACAAACAGATGGACGAAAGTAAAGACCCTTGGAAAATATTATTAACGAACAGCGTGAAGACAAAACTTGGCTCTGTGCTAATGGGTCAATTAGAGAAAGATGAGATTGATGGAGCAGTAATCAACGAGGCTCGGAATAAACTTGTTCGTTTTCAAGAGCTCTTTGATTTGTTCAATAATCAACCATTGATTTCTGTACTCAATGTTAAAGACAGTCAAGTAGACTTGAATGCACCCTGTTTAGTTTTTCCAGGCATCATTGAGGACAGCCCCAACTGGATAGAAGATTTGTGCATGAAAAATACTGCAGAAATCATGGAATACTGTCATCAACAACAGGTTAATATTGGTGAAGGCACAAATTATAGAAACAGCATTGGTAATTATACTGCAGATTCATAGCAGAGAAGAGTTTTGCTTGAGTTTTTTTCTGAATAAGCCAGATTTAAGCGAACCAAACATTTTCTAGTATTGTGTTAGAACAATAAAATAGTATTCGTGTAAAGATTAATTCTTAGCTCTTTCGATTCATTTGCAAATCTTTCTTCTTTATAAACTTCAAAACTTAAAACTATACTCTAAGGAACACACATCAATAAACTCAAATTTACACACATTTTCACAAGTACGTTCAACTGAGCTGGGTGGGGTGTGGGTGTGGGTATATTCTTTATCCACACCCACACCCACCTACACCCACACCCACCCACACCCACACCCACACCCACACCAACACCCACACCCTGAAATATTGCTCATGATGATAAATTTAAACAAACTTTGAAAACTTCATTGTTATGTGGATTTAATCTAAGACAAATAAGAAAAATTCAGTCATTAATTCTAAATCCACATTGATTTTATCTTGTCCACGTAAAAATGGTTTTAGTGGATTAAATAATAATTGTTTTAAATCATCACAAACTGACTGTACCATAACAAATAAAACACTTTA